CCTTTAAACTGTTATGGGGCTTCCTCTGAGGCAGCGGGATTTCCCCAGGGCTGGGTCCACCCCTCGGCCCAGGCCTAAAGCCACTGGCATCTGGGTGACTCAGCTCCGAATGATGTGTGTCACTCCGTTGGCAGAAAATGCCTGGAATTTGGAGAATCCGGCCATGGTTATGTTTGAAAAAGTCAGGCCGCCAGCCAGAAAGCGCTGCTGGGTGCAGAGGGGGGAGAGGTGGATGGGCAGCCTCGAGGGAGCAGGGCCCTTAGCAGGTTTCTCTCTCCAGCCTGGGCAGGGGAAGACTGGCAGGACTAAGCCAGTCCTATGCAGGTGTCAGCCAGAGGACCGCTGTATGCTGGATTCGCTGGATCCCGTGCAGTGTGTGCGTTGCGATGGTGACCTTCCCCAGCGCCCCAGCCAAAAAATCGCTGGAAAGGCCTTTGAGTTGGCTCGGCGGGAGGCGTAATCTCTGAACGCCTCTTTGTTACCTGCCGCAGTTCTCACCCCCTCCCCCTCTCGCTTGCAGGGGCACCAGGAGCAGCAACCTTCAAAAAGTCCTTGGAGGTAAGTTACAGTTAAACAAACAGCAAGCAGGTAGTTCTGGAAGTGCTGACGAAGATTTGGTTGGGGTAGAATGTGCTCCCGGGGAGCTCAGCGTAAGCAGACCCGCCGTAACGGCCTCGTAAAAGCTCAGTGTTTCGGGAACGGAGCAGGCTTGGGGGGGTGGGATGGCAGGGCAATAATCAGTTGCAAACTGTCATCCTGTGCGGTGCCAACACCACACCACCCTCTGCGTTTACACCCTGTTATAAACGTGGAGCTGTTGGCAAAGCAAAGCAGTCCAGGGCACGGAGAGGCTTGCGGAGCAGGGACAGTAACCCAGGAAGGGACAGCTGACCAGAGGCATTTTCTCTGCCCCACCGGGGTCGCTTGAATGCCAGAAGTGAACACCACACGAGCCAGCGTGCCCTCAAACTTCAGAGGCCTTGGAGCACATCAGAAATAGCAGGGATCCAGGGTGGCGCTGCTTCCAAGCGTGGGGTGTGCCCGGCCTTTGGGATGGAGGGCACTGCTGGCGTCGTCCCAGGCGCACCGAAGCTGCCTTGGGAGCTGTGGAGGACAGGGCCAAAAGTGTAAGGTTCCCTTTCCCCAGGAGGCAAAGGCGTAACCCTCCTTTTCCCCGCTGGCGGGCTGGTGCTCCCCCCGTGTGGGTGGGAAGCCCTGTTTTCTTTGGGACCCGCTCCCTGCTCGTCCCCGGAGGCTGTTCGCTGCCGTGAGTGTGGGGTGATTGAAAACACTCAGCCGCCTCTCTTCTGCTCCCAGGTGCCAGGTTCCTCCGGGCACATGTCCTTGCAGACGATAAAGAAGGGCCACCGGAGCGTGGATTCGACCGGAGAGACCACATATAAAAAGGTAGGCGCTGCCGGTGCCTCTCTGCTCTCCTCCCCTTCCTCTCCAGGGTCCGCCTTGCATTCTGAAGGGCCTGAGTCATCCTGCCCAGCATAAAAGGCGCAGGTAAACGTCAGATGTCAGAGGCTGATCTCCAGCGGCCCAGGCTGAGATCCCAGGGATTTTGAAGGCCTGTCACTGGTGAAAGAGAGGGGTTTTTCTTAAAGCTTCGAAAGATTTCCTTTTTCCTGTCGAGACTTCCGTTGTTGTTGTTTGGGCTATCGAGGACAGAGACAGCTAGACGATCTGGGATTCCCTTCACTTGTCCGTTCTTTTCCTGCCCAAAACGCAGGCGTGCTCTCTGGAGCATGCGTGGCCTCTTCCTCTCCTCTGCAGGGGGGCTGCTCTGACACCCCCCGGGTCCAGCGTGGCTTGGATTGGGGCCGGGATGCTCCAGTTGGCTTTGCCTCGGAACCTGCTCCCGATCCCTGGATGAAATGGATATTAGCCGGGCCGGTTCCTTTCGAAAGCCGCCTTTTTCCGTAAGTGGCCCTCTTGCTGCTGCCCAGAGATAGGCTGGAGACCGGGGAGGTGGGGGATGCGTGGGGCCCAAGAATTGTGGGGAAACAATGCCCAGGGGAGTTTGGAGGAGTCCTTTTCTCCCTTGTTTTCTTTCCTCAGTCAACAGAGTCAGGCAAGGAGATCAGGAACAGACGGTGCTCTAAGGCTATTCCCTCTCGAGCAGCGCAGGCAGAGGGCGGCTTCCCCCAAAGCCTGCGCTAGAAATGTGCCCCTCCCTTCCTCCCAGACTTGTGCGTGAGGCCGGGAGCCCATCGTTTCCGGCTTCCTTTTGTTGTGTTTTCAGCGTTTGCGGGCTCCTCCTTTGCCCGGAGTGTCGGGTTGGCCTGTCGTGGCAGCTGCTTTGCCGCCCGTGCCGTGCGGCCCGTCGCTTCTGCCCACGCCTCTGAAGCGTGCCCCTCGCATGGAGGAGCCGCCCACTTTCTCCCGCGGTTCTTCGTTCCGTCAGTCGGTGGCTGATGGGTGGGTTTCCGGAGCCTGGTCCCCGGTGAGCAAAGCGAGATCAGGGGACGGTGGACGAAGAGCGGGTGCTCAGCCCCGTCCGACGGCTTCGTCTTCCCACAGAATGGGAAGAGCTGTGCTGCAAGTTTTGGCACGCGGCGTCTGTAGCTTCGCACAAGCCTCTACTCGTGCAGCTGCGTCCCGGGTTCTCCAGCCTTCCAGGACGCATCCCTAACTCTCAGCCGAAGACGTTGCTTGACCTCAGCGGCTGGCTTTGGCGCGGTGTTCCTGTTTTTATTTCCAGAGAGCCATTGGGGGTCCCAGAATTTAGCAGTGCCTCCTAGCCGTCAGAGACAGGTCTTTTATTTCAGGACACCTGTCTGGTATCCTAAGAGCAAAGAAGAAGGAAGATTAGAAGGCCCCCAAACTTGCCCAGAGCAAGAAGCGGGTCCCAGGCTGTCTGTGATTCTGGGTGGATCTTCCCAGGACTGAGAGAGAAGCAGAAAGTTCAGCCTCTCCTAGCATGAAACGGTGCGGGGCTTGAGGAGTGGGCTGGATACCCCCAGGTGGAGTGGGAAGATCTTCCCCAGGCTCCGAGCTGTCTGGCAGGGGAAGCAGGAAGAGAAGACGGAAAGGGGATTTCCAAGCGCTGGGGAAGGTATTTGCTGAAGAAGGAGCCGCGCCTTTGACGTAGGAGAGATTTAAAGCAAACTAGTTTCTTTTTTCCCTGATAATTGTGGCAGTCAGGAATTTCCTACAACCAAGAAGCGGTGTGGGCAGACCTGCTACGGTAGCCATCAGAGCCTCCTTTTGTTTCCTCCCCTTCACTCCCAAATGCCTGTGTCTTAGCAGGTTTAGCCGGATTAAAAGTTTTGGGGGGTTTGCTTTCTTTTGTTTCTTGTAAAATTCAGCCCGAAGAAAAGATTTAGAGAACTCGGAAGCTTTGTGGTGGTTATGGTGGTCTCAGATATGGTGTCTGGATCCCTTCCCAAATGGGCCATCTTTTTACAATGAAATGTTGAATGCTAAATAGACAATATTATTGAAAGTTGGGAGCCCCCGGCTGCTCTCCTCTTCAGGCCCAAATCTTAAATGTGGTTGGTTCACTGTGAACTTGTCTAACTTCCCTCGGATACCCAGTCCAACCGAAGTGTTTTGTAGCAGTTTGAGACGCAGTGCCTCAACCCCGGAGGCGAGGCTGGTGGGCAGGGGAAGATGGGATTTGCAGTCCCTGCCCCCGCTCTCCAAGGGTTGTGGAATTGTCTCACACCAGATGGTTTCGCAACAGGGTCTTCCTTTGAAATGTCTGTCTAAAGGAATGACCAAATCATGTTAAAATGCTGATTTGGCAGCAAGAACAGGCTAAAGTCTCTTGGCTCAGCAAAACCCAGGCGAGGGTGACGCGTTCGGGCTGTTTGCAAAAGGATGTTTTTGGACTGCAAATCAGCACCGGCTCTTTTTCTGTCCCCTCCCCGCCAGACGACTTCCTCGGCTCTCAAAGGCGCGATCCAGCTTGGCATCACTCATACGGTGGGCAGTCTGAGCACCAAGCCAGAGCGGGATGTTCTCATGCAGGATTTCTACATGGTGGAGAGCATCTTCTTCCCCGGGTGAGCCACTGCCTGCCCACCTGGCCTGGGGAACCACAGCCAGGCCAGGCGGCTTCCGCAGCCGCTCCCTCATCTGCCCCCCCCGAGGCGGGTGATGCTCACGGCCCCTCTCTGTCCCTCCCTGCAGCGAAGGCAGCAACCTGACCCCGGCCCACCACTACAACGACTTCCGCTTCAAGACCTACGCCCCCGTGGCCTTCCGCTACTTCCGCGAGCTCTTTGGCATCCGGCCGGATGACTACTTGGTGAGCAGGCTCGGGGGGGCCCCCTTGGGATTGAGGAGAGCCACGGGGAGAAAATTGGGCCTGTCCCAGGACGGAACTCGCCCGGCGGGGCTGGATGGGAACTCTGGGGGGACGAGGTTCGCAGCGCTGGTCTTTTAACCCTCTGTTTCACACACCCCCAGTGCTCCCTTTGCAGCGAGCCCCTCATTGAGCTCTCCAACTCCGGGGCCAGCGGCTCCATCTTCTACGTCTCCAGCGACGATGAATTCATCATCAAAACTGTTCAGCACAAGGAAGCCGAGTTCCTGCAGAAGCTGCTGCCGGGTTACTACATGGTGAGTGGGGCGAGTGGAACAGGGAGGCAGCCCAGGCTGAATGCCCTCCCTTGAGGGTGACCCTGGGGGCGAGAGGCGCCAGCCCCAGTCTCTCCTCCCCGCCCAGGAGTTGCGAGCTCCCTGCAGTGATGCTCTGTGAGCTCTGGTCCTTCTTGGGGACCACGGACTTCGTGGTCCCTGCCATTCTCCTGGAGCTGGCGTTGGGGGTCTTTGCCCTGAGAACTCCCCTCCTTTCCGCCTCCCAGAACTTGAACCAGAACCCCCGGACGCTGCTCCCCAAGTTCTACGGCCTCTACTGCGTCCAGGCGGGGGGCAAGAACATCCGCATCGTGGTGATGAATAACCTGCTCCCCCGGTCGGTGCGGATGCATCAGAAGTACGACCTGAAGGGCTCGACCTACAAGCGCCGGGCGTCGCAGAAGGAGCGCGAGAAAGTCTTTCCCACCTACAAGGACCTGGACTTCCTGCAGGACATCCAAGATGGTCTCTTCCTGGATGCCGATATGTACAGCGCCCTATGCAAGACCCTGCAGAGGGACTGCTTGGTAGGTTGGGGGCAGCTGGGGGGCTGGGTCGGTGCCGGCCAGTTTGGGGATCCCCGAGGACCTACGTTGTTGTCATACGAGGGTGTCCGGGATAGGAAGGGTGGATCCCCGGGTGAAATGCAGCTGTAGATCTCCTTTTCTTCTGATTCCTGACTTGGATTCAGATTTTGAACCCAGGAAGGCAATCGGGCCTTCTTGAGTTTGAGGCTGGAGGTTTCTTTTGCCAAACCAGTCAAAGCTCTTGGCTTTGTTGAAAAGCAGAGAGCAGGTAATCCCTGTCTTTAAAAATCAGAGAGAGAGAGTTTAATCCACTTTTACAAGTAGGGGTAAAAGTAAGGGCCCTTGGGATGGGACACGCGGGCTGCATTTGGGTTAAAAGGGCAGGGAGATGCTTTGTGACGAAGGCGTGGGGAGGGGCAGTTTCTCCACCTGGCCTGGATTTCCTTAAGGAGGAGGCTTGTCTAAGGTTCTTCAGCACGAGTGGATCTTTGCGCAGAAGGGCTTTTATTATCCTGGAATGAAGTCTGCCTTTTGTTCTCAACTCACCTGACCTTGCGCTGCTCCTGGTGGAAAAAGAGACCGAAGGCAGCCCAGCCTGGATCGTGGCTTCATGGCTTCCTCTGGGGGTTTCTCCTTCTTCTGCCCCCCTCCACCTCCCCAGGTTCTGCAGAGCTTCAAGATCATGGATTACAGTTTGCTCGTGGCGATTCACAACCTGGACCTGGCTCAGCGGGAACGGGCGGTGGCGGACGGGGCCTCCCAGGCAGACATGCGGCGGCCGGCGGGCCAGAGGGCCCTCTACTCCACCGCCATGGAGTCCATCCAAGGAGAGGCCCGGCGGGGGGGCACCATCGAGACAGATGACCAGTAAGTCTGCAGTGCCGAGGAGAAGGGGCCGTTCAGACCAGGCCCTGCACTGGTTTGGCCTTTGCGGGCCAAGCCTTTGGGTCTCCAGAGCGGAGAAGCGGTGTCCTTTGGGCGGGGGTCCCCTCCCCAGGTTGTTCTCTGGCTGTTTCTCCGCCTGAGGCCGGCTCCAGTCCGAGGCCTCTCCATTGCACGCCTCTGTTTTCTCTTTCCTCTAGGATGGGGGGGATCCCAGCCCGAAACGCCAAGGGGGAGAGGCTGCTCCTCTACGTGGGGATCATAGATGTGCTCCAGTCCTACAGGTAAAGCAACCTGGACTTCTCCTTCCCTGGGGAAATTAGACGGTTGGGGCCCTGTAGGATGTCAGCCTCAGTGCATTCATGCCAGGTCCGTGCGCATTCAGTCTCGTGGGGGAGGCTGGCTCTAATGGAGGGAGGAGAGGAGGAATTCAGACGCCTGGGGCAGTTTCTCTCACTCTCCCGGTGAGGCAGACAGACAGCTTCCCGGCCTGCAGGAAGTAATTAACGCTGACAAAGCAGCCAAGGAGGACAAGCTCTTACAGCTGTGCATAGTCAGGTTCAGCAGTTAGTTGCCGAAAACACCCCGGAAGTGAATAATGGTGGGAGGCCCGTGGAAACAGGGAGCAGGCTGCGGTCGAGCCTGAAAGGAAAGCAGGACAGCCAGGGTCAGCCCAAGCAGGCCTCCAGAAGGAGACCAGCCTCTCCTCGGGAAAGATGATTCTAGCAGGACGCCCCAGCCAGTTCCCAGTCTGAAACCCAGGCTGATTTTAAAATTAACTTATCTCCCCCTTTCCAATCTCTTCAGGTTTATGAAGAAGCTGGAGCACTCCTGGAAGGCGCTCGTTCACGATGGGGTAAGAGGCCAAACTGATTGCCGCCTCTCTCGTTTTTGAGTGTGTGCAAGCAGGAGAAGATCCTGTTCCCCTCTTCCGGGCTGTTGGGGGGAGATCAGGCCTCCCAAGCACAAGAACCCATATCAGCGGATGGAGGGAGGGGGCCGCTCTCCTCCTGCTGCCAGAAATGAGATGGAGGGAGGCTGTGACAGCCCAGCCTTGGTGGCAAAACGAGGGCTTCACACCTTGAGACGCTCAAGTCTGCATCTGCCCCCCTGCGTTCAGAGTTTGGGGGGGGCAGGCCCTCCGCAGCAAACTGGAGCCCTTAATTTCTCCTTGGGGTAATTTTCATATGCTTGCTTGCAGGATACAGTCTCGGTTCACCGGCCGAGTTTTTATGCAGAAAGATTCCAGCAGTTCATGTGTCATGCGGTGTTCAAGAAAATCCCTTGTAAGTCCCTTGGGTCACGGGCTGGCCTTGTCTCCTGCTGTGCGGGGGCAAGGGTGCTGGGGTGGGACTGTGTTCTCTCCCCCCCCATACTAGCAGGGTCATTATGGAGACTCTCAGAACAATTTTTAGCTGATTTCTGTTTCTTTCTCCCCAAAGTGAAATCCTCCCCTTCGAAAAAGAGCCGGTCCGGGATGGGCCCTCCCCGTCGGCCGGGCCAAACCGGAGCCCCTTCTCAGGTGCTGGGGCAGGGCGAGACAAAAGTCCAGGTCACGATGGAGGCCGAGGTGGAGCCAGGTGGGTGGCCTCAGGCCAGTGAGCGCCCCTCGCGTACAACCCCGTCCCCGTCATCAGAACTGGGGAGAGGCTCCAAACGCAGCCCCCTCCTGCCCCTTTGTTAGCAAACCCGATCGGGGGTGGGCCGGCAGGAAGCAAAGAGGTGGCCTTGGCCAGTGTGTGATAGGGAGGCTGGCTGCTCCCCCCAGCCAGCATCCATTGGGGTTTCTTCTAAAATGCCTTCTGGAGAAGAACCACAGCCTCCAGCACCAGGTGCTTCCTTTCCCACCCCAGTTGGGAGGGAAGCCCTGCCCTGGGTACAGCCTTGCTGGACAGGCAGTGTGAGCTTTCCCCAAACACTGCCCCCGCTCAGCCTCCCCCCGTTCCCACCTCGCCTTCTCAGGTTCCCACCTGGGCCGCCCCGACCTGCTTCCCCAGACGCCCCCCATCGAAGAAGCCAACAGCGATTCAGCAGCGACCACCTTATCCACCTCTTCTCTGGGCAGCCCCGGGCACAGCTCGCCAGCAAACCGGTCAGTTGCTGTCCCCAGCAGTGGGGGGGGCAGGAGGGCAAAGGTTTCCCCGGGTGTCAGAGGGACACTCCAACCAACGTGCTGCTTGACAGTCACGGCCAGGAGGAAGAACGGCCTCTGCTCTGGCGTGAGATTTCAGAGGGCTGCTTCACGAGCGATGGCTCACCCAAAGCTGTTTCACTGCAGGCAGCGTGCCTTAAGTCTCGGGCCTCCAGCACTTCCGCTCCCCAGAAAGGCCTGGCCTTACCCAAGGACAAGAATGGGGAAAGGGGTCAGAGAGGGAGGGGCTGGGGCTTGCCTCCTCCCATCTCCCCCGGTGTTTCCCTTGTGGGACCTGCCCATTCCTGGGGCTGAGGTGATGCTTGGGGAGGGGGCTGTCACCTAGAGTCGCCAAGCTCCCCGCTTCCTGCCCTGAGAGCACAGCCTCGTCACTGGGGGTCAGCTGCTGCCTTCTCACTCTCCCCTTTTTCTCCATCGTTCAGGTCAGCAGGAGCAGAAGCACCCCCACCAGGCACCCCAAAGGACCCGGCTGCGCCCCCTCCAGAAAGCTCTTCCCTTAGGTGAGGGGGGGTTGGAGACTCCCAAAGGGACATCATCACTTTCCAATGACATCATCTCCCGGGGGCCCCCAAGAGCCACCCTGCCTGCGACTCTGCAGTGCGTGTGAAAGGCATGAAAGGGGAGACGCAGGTCACCCTCTGCTTTGAAACAGGGTGTCTTCCCTGCTTCCAGCGCTCCTCCTGTCATCTGCAGCTGCACTCTCCAGTCCTGCTCCCCAAAATAAGCCCTCGGGGGTGGGCTGGTTTGAAGTGTGCTGAGGGCAGCCAGGGAGGAGGAACCACTGGGGGAAACCTGAGCAGGATGTCTGAGCCTTTGGACCCCCATCCCCAGGTGCCCACCGGCAGCATCGCTGGTGGAAATTCAGGACTGCCTCTTTAAGGCGCCAGGCTGTCCCTCGCAGGATTTTCTCCAAAGCTCAGTGCCAGAATCCCCAGAATTCTGGAGAGCAAAGGGACAAATACTTTGACTCCCGTAAGGGAAGGTCATAGCATCCTGGGCTTCTGATTGCAGAATAAGATCCTTACAAACACAGAGAGAGGTTTGTACTGTCTGATCTGTATTTAACAAGCCGTGAAAAGTTCCATCTCCCACGCCCTGGTTTGTAATCTGTTTCTTCCTTCCCGTTCCTGCATTCCTGCTGGCCTGGTCTGATGGGTCTCCAAATTTCTTAGCTGTCCCAACGTATTTTTCTCGAGAACAGCTTAGTCGGACGTTTGATCAAAGTGTCTGGCCTCTGAAAATTTTGAACCCCTTGGAAAGGGATGGGGGGAAGGGTCTCTTTTCTACAGCTCCTCCATTGACAAAAGGCCTGTCTCTTAATCTCCACATAGGTCAGAGAGAGAAGAATTTATCAGTTCAGACAAGTTATCTGCGGAGGTAGCTAGTTCAGGATGTTTTCAAGTAGGTGAGACTGAATCTAGTCAGATGAAGCAGCCATGCCATAGGGCAAGTAATCCCCCAGGGCCACGAGTGCAACTTGGGTGCAACTCAGTGCTCCAGGGAGCCCCAAAACTGCCTTTCTGGCCAGCGAGGGTGCGTGGTGGTGGAGGGCGCTAGATCCTTCTCTGCAGCTTGGAAGAGCTTTCTGGCTGGCTTGCACGCTTCCATGCCCAGGTGTGCTTCCCACTGGCCTTTGCTGGGTCCTGGGCGCCAAAGTGTGTGTGTGTGGGGGGCACATGTTGGCTTAGAAGAGTGTATGTGTGTGTGAGCGTTCCTCAGCCCAGATTCACTGGCTGACAAGAGTAGGGGTTAGCCACGGCCTTCTGAATCCCCAGCTGGCACCAGTCACTTTGGCCCAGAGAGGGTTCGTAGAACAAGCTGGCAGCGGTTGCCCCGCCCCACTCAGCCCCTTTGCTTTCCTCCCCCAGTGCTTCGCCCAGCCCTGCCAGCCGAGGGCAGCCATCTGAGCTGACGCAGCAACTTGGAGATTTGGCCGAAATGGAAATCAGTTGTGTAAGTCTCTTTCCTCCCTGTTTGGATGGCCCTTTGGGGACGTGGGGAAAGGGCCCCACGTGGGCCACCAGCTGAAAGCGGAGCCCCTGAATCCAGCCTGGATCTCACAGTGTGCCCTCATCTCAAACACACAGGGCCACCCCCACCCCCGGCATCTGCCTTCTTCTTCCTGAATCTGATCCTTCCTCTTTCTTTTTTTAATTTTTCAGTGAAACATCAGTGGGATTCCTTTCTTCCTTTGGGGGAACACAAGCAGAAGATTTTCTCCACACTCTGCATGGCCTGTCTCTTTGCGGGGAGGGGGGACCAGCCCCCCACCCTTTGGAGCTGCTGATACCACAAACCGAACTGAGCAGACTGAAGGCTGGGCTCCCGCCCTTAAACCTTTCAGGTGGCCAACGACACCCAGCTCGGGGCTCTCAGAAGGCGTCCCGGCCCCCTCCGGCCCGGGCAGAGGGCGGACCCCCACGGAGCCACACAGACCGGGGGGCTTCAGAGGAGAGCAGCGCCACAACATCCGGTCCATCCTCGCTTCCTGGAGGGGGCGTCAAAACAGACGCAATGTTGCCCACTTGGAGACGTTTGCAAAAGATGAATGCTCTTTTAATTTTAGTTTTACTTTTCTAAAGCATATCGAAGCTTCTTTTGTGAATTGCCGTTATCAGGGGGCTTTGCTGAAACGTAGGTGGCTCAGCCCAGGACCCTCTTGCTCCCCCTGCTAGCACGCCCGTGCCCGGGGGGAGAAGCCTTGTTTCCAGCGCAGCGTCAGCGTGGAAGGCAGGTGACGGCCCTCCCAGACACGCCGAGCTGTCGCCCCCGTGCTTCAACTGGTCACCCGCGCCAGCTGGCCCAACCTTGCCATCCTCCGCGCCCCTCAGCCACTCTTGCAAAGCGTGAAGGGGCTGTAACCCAGATACGTCTGAAGGGGCTCTTCACACAGGCGTGTTCGCCCAATACAGTTTTCCAGTAGCTTTAGTATTGTACTAACGGACCAAATTTAACCTCCCGAGTCTCGCTTTGTGGCAGCAGATGTTCAGTATTAAATCCTTTTAAGAAGCTCACAACATTTCACAACAGTCAGGACTCACTTTCTTCCCCCCCCGCCCCCTTTTCTGTGTTTTATAGCTATGCCACAAGTTTCCTTCCACCTTTCTGGTTGCTAATATTTTTTAGCAATTTATAAGAACGGTCAACTCCCTTAGTTACTCTACACTTAGGCTTTTTTTCCTTCTTTCAACTTCTCACAAGTTGGCTTTGGAGGTCATGTTCCGGGTCCCAAGTGTGTTTCTTGCCCCAACAGGGTGTCTGCAGCTCATTGAGGAATTCATTGGAGTAGTAACTATCCAGAGGAGGTTTAGCGGGCTATCAAGAGAAATATATCACTGTGTCCGAAAGAAATATCTATAAAAAATCTAAATATTTCTTGTAACCCATTTTTCAAGGGCAAGGAGGGGAAAAAAAAGTATTGTTTTCGCAGCAAGAGTTTTATAGATATTTTTGTGAACAATGTCAGTAAAGCATTTAATGGCAAGCAGACTAGCATTTAATATCACTGCAGACTTAGACTTTAGTACTGGAAAATGGGCGAAGGGGCATGGAGTCCTCAAATAAGGCGAGATCAGGATATATAAATGGTTAGTTCTATTTTTTTAAAAAGAGTTTAAAAGACAGCCTTAGAAACTGATGTCTGGTCAGATGGCTAGTGAAAATAGTTGGGGGATTTGCCTCGAGACTTGG